TGAATTCCCTGCTTTTTTCCGATCATAACTCGAAGCTCTGGTCGCAAGTTGAAGCAAAATTATGCGGCTGGAGCTTGGCATAACTCGAAATGGTTGTAATTCGGGACGTTCGTAAGTTGAGGCACCACTGTATATGAAAACAAGGTTGAGAGCCTTCTCCATTATGGTGCCTGGATTGTGGAAGTGAAATGTAGGAAATAATTGTTTTAAATAAGTAAGTAAATTCTTGCTCTTTCTACTGTCTTCTCCAGAACGGCTGCTTACTTCTGCCCAGGGAGGAGGCATCCATGTTCCATGGAGCCCCAGGGAATTGTTAAAGCTTTCCCCAAAAGAAAAAAGCCAGGAGATGATTCACAGAAGACAGTGCCTCCAAAGGTATTGAAAGAAGAAGCCAGGGTCAAGAAAAGTGAGTTTCTGATTTCATTCTTTAGCCCTGTGACCACTGGTTACTATGAGTTATTTTACTATAGGTAATTTGCCTGGGACAACATGCTTAATTGTCAAGGATAATTTCCACACTGAGGCAGAACAAGGCCCATGATAATCAACAGCTGTACTTGACAGGTATGTGCAAAATGCTGAATCATGCAGTCTGGGATGATGCAGTGTCCACACTGATTGGTTGTATGTGAATGTGCATGTGTATAACTATGTGGACATGTTGAGAAGATGTACAGATCTCGTCTATGAATGTCATGCTGTCATGCTGCTGGTTTGTACTGCTGAACTTCTGTATATGCTGTAAATACATCTGGTGTTGGAAGAAGCTGTCTTTGTGTGAATCAGTTGGACTGCCTGGACTGGGACAAAAATTCTGCTAACTTACACCAACTTTAATCCAGTAAGAGCTGTTTGACACTGAAATGAGTTACTCTAAAGGTGGTAGACTGTTTCACTGGATACTTTCAAATAGATTGGATGGTTGTCTGTCAGGGATCCTTTAGCTGTGGATTTCCTGATTCAACAGGGGGTCGAACCCAATTACCCTTGAGGTTCCTTTTGTCCTGAAAGTCCTGGAAAAAAACCCAAGTCAAATCCTGGAAGAGTCCAATCATATGGAAATTTTGTGCTTTCATACCTTGACTGTGTACTAAAAAACAGGCATACTCCTTCACACTTGCTGTGTTTAAAAGCAGGGAACACCAGACCCTGCTTCAATGAGCATTTGTGTTTGATGTATTTCATTAGCAGGGTGGTTGGAGCCCATCACAGCCTATATTCTGCAAGCTGGAATTGGCCGGACCAGGGCTGAGATCTTCCACAAGCAAATAATCCAGAACGGGGGAAGTGTCTGCAACCAACTTTCTCCAGATGTGACACATATTATAGTGGATGAAGGCATGGACTGTGACCGGGCCTTCCGAATCCTCAAACTGTCAAAATTACCCCATGGACTGCAACTGGTGAAGGCATCTTGGATGAGTTTGTGTATTTCATCACAGCAGATACTGGACACTACTGGCTATAGCCTCTTCATCCCAGAGAGGTAGAGACTTCTGTCATAAAGGAGGCAAAGTGGTTTCCCATCCCTGTTGGCAACGTTTACATGTTTTTGAACTACACATTTTATCTAAAGGAGTACCATTTCCAAGCTCTGGGCAGGGGCAGAATTGGGACAGGAGCCAATAGTATGCACAAAACTGAGGCAGAGATCCCTTGAACTTGCAAGATAGCCCTCCCCCATAGCCTCATGTGCCATTCGGACAGAATCCAACCATCAAAATATGAGAGCCATTTGCTATTAAACTTTTGTATAATTTGGTAACTAGAACAGACTACCTAACTTGGTAAAAATAAGTATGGCAAACAAGGTAAGATATTTTCTGCAGCCTACTTTGTCTTTAATGATTTGGAGATAGGATTTTCCCCAGGACAGTTGCTCAAAAATGTGCTGTTCTTCCTGAAATTGAGAGTTGGACAGTAATGATATCAAGCCAGAGATTTAATGTATGAACTCTGCCATCCACTTGTCCTGTTTTTTCCAGATTGTTGATAGGGTAGGATGGAGGGCATGTTTTCAAATCAGTGATTATGATTTGTTGATCCTTCACAGGTATTTGGATGCAACAGACCTTTCAAAAAGGCAATCACAATATGTGGATGAAGAGAAGGTCCAACTTCAAAAAGGGAGTCCTATCGCAGAGCTGGAGGCTGAATCACAGGCAGGGACCAACTCTCCCAGCAGGGCAAGAAACTCCTCAGGACAGCAGGAAGCCAAAGGAGTGTGCTCGGTTAGTGGTATCCCACTTTTGAGCATTTTGTTTGATGTTATGTCAGGATCTACTGATGAAGTTTACCATTACCAAGCTAAAAAACACCATCAGTACTTGAGACTGGCGAGAACCACTGTGGCTGTTTAACTCTATAGATAAAGCTATTTTTTCCTTCTTTTGAAAGTGGTGCATTTCTCTACATTAAACAAAAATGTAGGTGTATTTTAGGAGTTGGACTCAAAGCATGTATCTTCTTTAATTTTCCCAAAATCTGTCAATTAATAATTCATTACTATCTCCTTCCACAGAATCTTAAGGTTCTGGTAGAAATGTACACTCCCTAAGAGGCTGCCACATCCAGTTACTTCAAATTTCATTCCTTCTCATTCTGAAACATTATAAAAATCAAACAGGAAAGTATCAATGTTACACTGTGTCAGTGTCTCAAAGTCTCTAACTCCAGCATATTGATCCTATCATGCAATGGGCCTAAGGTGCTGTTTAATTTTTTAGGTTTTCCATACTTTATGTTCTCTATTGATCTGTATAATCCATAGTATGTCTGTTCTGGTACATTGTTGTCTTCTTGCTTCTATGAGATCCAGAAGTAAAAACAAAAACAACAACAACAACAAAAAACAGTGTCATTGCACTCCTCTTCACCACCATTCAAACTCATGTACACATAGGTTGTGATAGTCCATAGCATTTGGATCACCTGGAATTGCTAGCTATGTTTCCTTATTCTTGGGTGCCAGATGGGGTGAGTTAGAAGCTACATATATAGATGCAAACTCCCATGCCTAGATACAGGGTTGGGAGCAGAGGAGTCTGACTTCACCTTCATGCTGTGGTCCTTTTCAGGACCAATGAGTTGATGGCAAGGTACTACTCAAGATTGCTTTTCTAGGAGGAGCTTCGCTTCCGCCCTGCCCCACCCCCAGCAACCCTGGTTAGGATCATTGCTTTCCCATTATCATTAGGAGCAGGGAAGCAATAATTCCATTTGTTTTGGGGACACTGAGGAAGGGAAGAAAACCTAAATCTTCTCATTACCTTGATCAGATTGACTGTGAGGAAATACAGTTGGGGCTTCCCCAGGTTTCTGTAGGCTATCTGTACATAAAAACATCCTGTAAGCCAGGGGTCATCAACCCCCGGTCCACGGCCCTGTGCCGGTCCGTGGGCTTGCTGGAACTGGGCCACCAATACAGATCTCCTCCCCCTTGCATGCACATGTGGGGACGTGTCACGCTCGCTGCCACCATGTCACTGAACAAGGAAGTAGATCAACTGAAGCCATTACATTAGACTAGTGTAACCCCGCCCCCGGAGAGGCGACTGCATCTCCCACCATGCCATGTGACAGCATGCGCCGTTGTGAGGGCAAGGAGACGGAGGCGTGTCATGTGATATAAAAAGGGGGGGACACGCTGTACCAGCCACCCTATTGTTATTGCTGCGCCAAGCCTTGAGGGGCAGGTGGTGTGTCTGGTTAGGTCTTGTTGCCTGCCAGAGTTCAGACAGTTCTATTAAAATGTCACCTTAAATAACAGGGTAGGCAAAGACGGGGCAGGGGAGAAGCAGCCCTCAGAATTTGGGGTGGGGGGCTGATAGTGAGGATGCACCTTTTCCCCTCCTGCTGATGCCAGGATGGCGAGCCCGGATCAGATGTCTCCCAACGTCCTCCTACAGAACCTGTGCTGTCGCATCCTGGGGAAAGGCAAAGGTAACCCCAGGGATCGCCTCCTCAGAGCCTGCTAGGAAGGGCTGCTTGGTTACCAAGCAAAAGACTGGAGAGAAGAGCCAGGCGGGGGGCAGGGAAGAGGAGGAGGGTTGGAGGAAGGGCTGCTTTGCTGCTGCCGGAGCCACTCGTTGCTCTTCAGGCAGAGCAAGCCGGGGGGGTGGGGAATCCCTTCCTCCCACCCACATTCCTGGTAGCAAGGTTGGTCGGTCGGTTGATCAGTCATGAGACTATCGGGGAGACTACCTGGGTGGCTCTCTGGTCCCTCCCCACCATCTCTCCCACCAGAAGTGGTGCCCACCAGTTCCAGTGCTGTGGGAGAGACAGGACTCTTGGAGGGCATATCTTGCAAGTGTGGAGTTGGGAGGTCTAGTTTCATGCTCCCCTTCCTGCGAGCATGTGAGCACAACACACCCCTCCACAAGCGTGACACGCCCTTGCGCAAGCATGACATGCCCACCTGCGAGCATGGTGGTGCCATGGCCCCCCAACCGGTCTGCGCACGGAACCTGCACCCCCCAAACGGTCTGCGATCCCAAAAAGGTTGGGGACTGCTGCAGTAAGCTCTGTGTGGCTCATGTGTGTTACAGATTACAACTGTATTTTGAGAGGCAAAAAGTTGGGTATGCTATTCATGTCTGAATATGCTGTATGTGGAAAGTATAGAGTCACCATAAGCTGAATTGACTTGATGGCATGTAATGATGATGATGATGCTACAAACAATGTAATGATACTTGTTTTTAAATCTGGGTCCATCTTGCTGTGAGTAATTTGAGGATTATGTGGACTGTTTAAAAAAAAGCAAAAAGCAAAGCGTTCTGCTTATATACTACCCCATAGTGCTTAAAGCATTCTCTGGGTGGTTTACAAGTTAATTCTGCAGGCTACATGTTGCCCCTGACCCCCATTAAGCTGGGTACTCATTTTACTGACCTCGGAAAGATAGAAGGCTGAGTCAACCTTGAGCCGGCTACCTGGAATTGAACCCCAGGTTGTGAGCGCAATTTTGGCTGCAGTACAGCAGTTTAACTAATATTCCACAAGACTGCCTAAATGTTTAGCATTTAAAGTCTCCCATCTTGGTGCATAATAAACCGGAGCCTGGGAATTGCTTAGATAAATAATGGCTGTGTTTCATTTGTCCTGTCCTGCCTCTTTCCAAAGGGGATCTCAGATGATGAAGGAAGTGAAGGCGAAGAACATGTGATTGCCCTGGGTGAGTTAGAAGCACTGCAATCAGGCCAAGACCTGAACACTTTGGCAGGAAGTTCGTCCGTGGTGTGTCCCATTGGCAAGTGGGTTTGTGCTCAGTCCTCTGAAAGCAAGAAACTGAATCATAATCAGTGCCTCACAGAGAAGTTGGGACTGCTGGAAAAAGCCTACTCTGTCCAAGGAGACAAATGGCGGGCTCTAAGTTACTCCAAAGCTATCAATGCACTCAAGAGCTATTCCAAACCAGTCACCTCTTATCAGGTAAATTCAAAAGGTTTCTTCTCAAGCAACTACTTTTCCTGTTATATTTCTATCTTCTGTAAATTATTTGTTGTTTGCCAGTCTGTGGAGCAGTTGATCACCTCATCTGCCTCACATTATTATCTCCTGATTGTTGTATCACACACAACCTTTGGGAGTGGCTGGTACTTTGATTGGACCAGCTTGTTATGGGAACAAAGTTACTTATCACTTGCTTACCACTGTGATTCCCTTGCTGTTTGGACTCCTTACTAGATGGAGTCTATGAGTGCAGAATTACCAAACTCTTGTGCAACACCTTGTTTTTAAAGACAAGAGTGCAGACAAACTGCTTTCAAGGCAAGGCAAAAGATTTGTTGTCATAGAGAGTACAGGGCACAAGATTTTATATGCATAAATCTAATAGGATATTAAATCCACGTTAGAAATGAAGCTTCTTCAGAGAGTGTCTGTCTCAGAAAAACCTGGCAGCAGCCCAAGAATAAAGAAAGGTGTCATCTAGAAACTGAAACTAGAGGTGTCCAAAGTAAAAAATACAGAAATTTTCCAGAATAACTCAGCCTTCCTACTTTTCTTCTAACCAGCTTTTGTGTTGGTGCTTTTTCAAAAGGAAGCCTGTAAGATTCCTGGAATTGGGAAGAAGATGGCAGAAAAAATTGTGGAGATCCTGGAGAGTGGGCACCTCCGAAAGCTTGAACACATCAGCAACAATGTGTCAGTGCTGGAAACATTCTGCAATATTTGGGGAGCAGGAGTAAAGACTGCTCAGATATGGTACCAGCAGGTAATTTTAGCAATGAATTCTGTGGTGTTGGCACTGCAATTTCTTAGTATGGTTTGTACTGTAGCAGTGATACAAGATAGCTAACGTGTTTTTATATAGTTTGGGTTACTGAAACTGGCAAGGAAAAGAAATGGGAACTTTATAGATGTTCTTTGAATTGCTACTTAGTTACTTAGAGTTATCTCACCAGGGAGGTCAGAATATTTAAATAAATTGGGATTAAGCAGCAAGTCTCAGGGTGGGGTGAAAGAGATGGCAGGCAGCGTGATAATTTTGGTGCTTGTTTGGGGAAGGGAGTGAAATTAAATCTGATAGCCACCATATCTTGACTACGAGTTAATAAAACCAGTTGTATCTTAAGGTTACTATGGTGTTTTATTAGTATGAAAATAATTGTAGTACTTACAAGGTCTATGATAAACCTGTAACAGAAGTATAACATGGATAATGATGTAATGTGCAATCAAATCTGCTTTGCTTCATTTCATTTTGTTTTCAATTCCCAATAATTGCTTTGTGTCACTGCCAATTGACTCACCTTTGGCCCCTTCAGAGTTTCTTGCAAAGAGCTGTTCCATGAAACTATTTGGTTCACTTTTGCCATTCTCTTCTAGCAGCATCGTCATTACCTGTTTTTGTAGGCTTTGCAGCATTTCTGTGGTTTCCCAGTGAAGGCGTTAACTCTCTGCCACCACTAGAAGTAATCTGCAATGACTCGGCTGAAGATGGGATATTAATCCAAGGAATTTGTCATGATTCCTTCCTCTTGTCCCACAGTACTAGTTGAAAAACACTCGGCATAGTAGACGTAATGGCCTTAGCAAGGTCTACTGAAAAAAAGATTTCTCTCTCTGAGTGTCCTGTGTGTTCTGGGCAGGGCTTTCGAACTCTGGATGACATCTGCACTAAGGCCTCTCTCACAAACCAGCAGGCCATTGGTTTGAAGCACTACAAGGACTTCATGGAACGCATGCCAAGGGAGGAAGCTGCTGAAATAGAGCAGACTGTGAGTATCCTCTGAGAACTATGTACAGGGTGTTGCTCTGGTTTTGAACAGGGATGGGTGATTTGGGACAATAAAATTTAAAACAAGATACATGGAGTGTGCCTTATTTTCCAGCTGAATTGGACTCCCAGAAGTGCAATTCAGCTTGAAAACAAGTTCTGGACTTCCCCATCTTCCCTATGCCTTCTTTTAAAGCTAAATCATACAGAGTTTGCCCTGCAAATATTTTGGCAGCTCAGTAGCATACTCCATGCTGGAGGTAAGATAGAGAAACTGGCCCTCTCATCCCACTGGTTGTTTATCCCTGTCTGAGAAAGTTAGTGATAATCCTCATCAATCTCAGTAGGGATTTATTGGTTTGAAAAAACCAATCAATCTTGTTGTGTTCATGAATTAAAACTGTTCAGTTTTTCTAAGATTTTCTAAGTGGCATCCTTTTCCTTTATATATTTGACGTGAGCAAGTATGTGAATCTCAGCATTGCCCCTTGTGGCGGGGAAGGGAGGTTTTGGTAGCTTTCCAAGGAAGTCTTTCCCCCTTCCCTTTATGGCCAACATTGTGCCCCAGGCTGACAGGTTAGTAAGAAAGGTTTGAGTTGCAGTCTCATGGACCCAAGTCACATAAAGCTTTTTCATTGCTTCTCCTGTGTGCTGACGTTGATTGCCATGGTAGCACTGGGCAGCATGACATTGTCATTCAGTCACAGTGCCTGCCCCTGAAGAATGCCTGGTTGCCAGGTAGGGCATTGCCCCTTACATGGGATTAAACTTCTTTTGGGAGCCCCTGCCGTTGGGGGTGGGCCTTTTGTGGGTTTGATGGGATTACCCATCTCTTGCCCATTTAGGGCTGGGGTGGGGTGGGGTGGAGTGACTGGGAAGAGGCAACAGAATGAGGGGATTAGCTGCTGTCTGTCCAAGATCCAAGACACTGTGCTGCTTTGAGGAAAACTTAATTGAGGATGCAAAAAGAGCAGATCTGCATTAGAAAAACCATGAGGGCTATTCTCAAATGTTGCAGGGCAAAGGTTAATGGGCTTATCCCTCACTAATGAAGGATGATCCTGGAAACTGACAAGGGGTCCTTGCCCTCCAAAGTGCCTTCCCACCCCACCCACTGTGCCACCTCTATGTTCTAAACTAACAATCACATCTTTGTTTAGTAATGTGGATGATTGGCACCATAATACCCATAATCCTGCATACCAAAATGACCTTCAGTTGAGGCTTTAATGAAGCCATAAGAGGTTTGTCAATGTAGGAAAATAGATGAATGAGGAACTCTTCTTTGTCTTCTAGCCAGTAGGTTACGAGTTCCAGTTCCTGGGCTGTCTCCACTGCTAGGGCTTCTTGCTCAGATTGCAGCAGAAGAGGGCCAGAGCTGCCAGCCAGACTTAGGCACAACAACAGCTTGGAAATGTTTCCTTTTAAAAAATCTACGAGTCCCAGAATTCCTCCAGGTAGCCATGCAGAAATTCTAGGAGCTGTAGTTTACCAGAGTAGTGATCCCAAGTTCCAGAAAAGAGAGTCCAAATTATTGATTCATTCCTGATTAGTTTGAGTCCTGATCATCCAGGGGACTGATCCTGTGCTGTTGTGCCATTCATGTTGCTCCTGCCCTGATCTTCTTCCTGTCTAGAGAATAATTACCTGCTCTAACTCCAGCCTCCTCACAGATTTCCTGCTCCAACAGGGGATAGGACATACTCCCCCTCCCCCCCCCAATTAAACAGGATAGTACTGTCCCATGTTTTAAGAAGACTATTCTCATCAGGCTGCAATTCACCAAGAAAGCAGATGAATTCTCAGAAGGGAACATAGGAAGCTGCCTTACTCTGAGTCAGAGCATTAGTCCATCTGCCCAGCATCCCTGACTCTGAAATAAGCAGCTCTCATTTCAGGCAGGATTCTTTTCTAGCCTGCTATGGAGATCCCTGGTCTCTCATCAAAATACTAATGAAGGCAATTTCACTTAGCTTACAAACTGAGATGAGGCTGGGTGTGTCCAGGTGGCATACAATACCACCGAGATAGGTAAAGCTAGGACTATGACTCTTGCAATTGGGCACTCCTAAGAATCTTAGCATTTACATATATCACATGTGGATCTGAAAATAGGCTTGTAGGTGTGGGTGTATCTTTTGTGAACTGACCAAACCAGAGTAGGGTTCAGTAGAATTGTCTCTGATCAAGGGACAAATCTCTGAGCTCTTTGCCCTTCATGCATAAGACTAGGATAAACAATAAATGCAATAGAATTCAGTTTTATTTGCATGACTGATGCATGCAGTGGAATTTAGCCTTCAGAATTTGGTTTCAGTGGTTTTCAAAATGTATATTTATTTATAGCACCAAATGTGCACAGTGCTGAGCAGCTGAATTATCACACTACATTGCAATGGACTCCTAGTCATGATGGTTGTGTATCCCCTCTGTGTCAGAGGCAGCAACACAAATGAAACTGATCATATTCTGCTGGCAGATTTTCCAGGGATGACGGTTGGGCACAGTGCGAATAGAACGTTGGACTAGATAGGCCTTTGATCCAATAAAACTCCTCTTCTTAAAACAACTTCCTATTAAAATCTGTGTCTCCATTCAGTCCTTTGCTTTCTCTTTGTTTTGGAGGTCAGAGATGCAGCTCATTCTATCCAGCCTGGATTAATTTGTGTAGCATGTGGCTCATACCGGCGGGGAAAGGCCACCTGTGGGGACGTGGATGTGCTGGTGACTCACCCTGATGGACATTCCCACCAAGGTGTATTTGGAAAGCTGCTTGAGGTCCTTCGGAAAAAGGGTATGTAGGTATCTGTGAGGCTGCAAAATAGGGATCTGAATAAGGATGGGGTAGGGTTTGTATTCCTGAATACTTTAATCCTTGGGAATGATGTGAAATAGCAGAAATAAACATCCATAGAAGACTGTGTAACAATCCTCATAGCTGGTTCTGTTCATTGTGACCCTAAAGTCTCCAATATTTGATAGTTTGCTGCAAGGAACGATCTGCTTTCCATTCTAGACATAGCTGGAATAGGTATTGGGTTCCATGCATCAAAAACCATAAGCAGATGGTTTATTTTGTCCACTCTGGTTTAGCAGTGTGCATTCTTCTGATTCTTGAAATTCTTGTGTATAAACATCAGTACCCTGAATTTCATCTAGTCTTAGCTTCTAATGTTCTGTAAACAGGCAACCCATAAGCAAATGAATAAAATTAGGGCTGCAGTACCTACTCAGTTTCATTTTGTTCTGCACCTTTGGACCAAGATTCACAGACATCTGAAATGATCTTTCTATCCAAATATTTGGACTAACATCTTCCTCTTTCCCTTTCCCAAGTCCTGGTGTTGCTATTTCCCTCTCAGAAAGTCTCTCTTGGAGGACTGTATTGCTGGTGATCATGACTGATGAATGGTGATCAGGGTGGATTTGATTTAAATCACCCCTCAGAAAGACCTGATTTAATCTTGTGACTTTCTTCACATAGAAAATTTCTGTCAATGCTTCTAAGAATTTCCAAAATTGTGTAAATGTGTGTGTGTGTCGGGGGGGGAATTTTATAAAAGCTCAAGGAATAACTTTAGAGCTGAAAGATAGGGTTGATCAGATTACAGTATTTAATTTTTTTTTCATCTTCATGTACTGTATTGCTGTTGAATTTCCAGAGACACAAATGCAATATGAGAACTGCATATTTTTCTGATGGTATCTATAGACCAAATACTAGGGAAGACAGAATAGTTGACCAAAATTATCTGCACAGAAGCCTATAAAATCTCAAAAATTGGGCCCCAGTCTAAGAACTGTTTGGTCCTTTTTGCAAAATCTAGGAAGCAATATACAGTATTCATCTTAATCATCATTATCACGTACCGTCAATTCTGACTTATGGCAACCCTTTTCAGGGTTTTCCAGGTAAAGAATATTTAGAAGTGGCTTAGCATTCCCTTCTTCTGAGGGCACCTTGGGACTGTGTAGCTTGCCTAAGATTACACAGGTTAGCTCTATTTGCAGAAGACACAATGGAGAATCAAATTCCCAGCCTCTGGCTCAGCAGCCAGATACCTAACTATCCTGATCTATCCAGCCAGTATATATGAATATACTGTGTCACAATATAGAATTAGTAATTAGAACCTGTATAACATATTGTGATGTTTAAGCCATAACACATTTAAATTAAACTATCTTCATCTGAGGCTTTTAAAAAGAAATATTTTAACTATGCAAATTTTAAAAATCTGATCTAAATATAAAATACAATTTTTAAAAAATATATTATTTTTATTCACCCTGGTATAGATCACTGCACTATCTTGAACTGTCCTGGTAATATCTCTCTGGAGAAAGCCAATCAGTTATTGTGATCTCTCTCTCTCCCCTCTTGTGACTTGATCCCTTTCCTTGTTATATCCAGGCTTTCTCACAGATGACTTGGTAAGTCAAGAAGATAATGGGAACCAGAAGAAATACCTGGGGGTGTGCCATCTGCCAGGTCCAGAACGACTCCACCGCCGCCTTGACATCATTGTGGTACCTTATAGCGAGTTTGCTTGTGCCCTGCTTTACTTCACAGGCTCAGCCCATTTCAATCGCTCCATGAGAGCCTTTGCCAAGACCAAGGGCATGAGTCTGTCTGAGCATGCCCTCAGCACTGGTGTGGTGCGTGGAGCTGGTGGCCTCAAAGTAGTGCCCGGCCTCGCTTTATCCACTCCCACTGAAAAGGATGTCTTCATGCATCTGGGCTTGCCTTACCGGGAACCTCATGAACGGGACTGGTGACAGACTGGGAAGGAGCAGCTGCTTTTTTGAGCATATGGTTATTTTCTGTGTTGCTGGGTTCCAGAACTGCAAGAAATCCAAGATCTTGAATGTATTTTACGGGGTTTGACGTGTCGTGATGAGGGGAGCACTACGGAGAAATAACCTACTTCAGTCGTTGGTTAGAAGAACAAATGAGCATGTGATTGTAATGCATTTTGCACATTGAAAATCCCATTCAAAGCTCCAACAGGAGGGAGAGTATGAAATGCAGATGTTGAAGGATGAATTTTTAAAAGAATGAATTTTAAAAAACCTTTTTACAAAAATATTGTCCTTATGGTACTGTTAAGGCTGCAGACACCTCCCAGTGGAAATTAGTGCTTCTCCTTTAAAGGCTGTACCTTTGCTACCTCAAGGCCTGCTGCAAGGGTGGAGAACATTCTTTCTGCTGAAAGCCAGATACCCTCAGGGGTACCCTCTCCAGGCTGACTGTGGAAGAGACAGAGCAAAAAAAAGGGAGTCTGGAACCCTCCCTTTTCTCTCTTTTTTCCTGCCTTCTTTCTACTCTCCCCATTTACTGTCTCTTTCCTTCTTGTCTATAGTGCTACTGGGGAATAAGAGATGATTTCCCCCAGAAATCTGAACTGATCACCAACAGGGAGCTTTTGACTACAAGCTGCATAGTGGCCTCCAGGCCATTTTTTTTTTTGCTTCCTTAGAAAAAAAGTCTTGCAGTAATGTGTGTATAAAACAGGAACATCATTCCATTGGGGATATGATGCTACTTTCAAAAGAAAACAGGGTCCTTTTGAACCACACAGCTTTTAGCAAAAAAGACAGAACAGAGCTTGTTTTTTTAAAATTAGAAGTGACTTGCAGTGAATTCTAGTTTCCTTTGATAGGGCTTGCCCACTACTGGTTTAGCATTTCTAATTAAAAAGCCCTCAAATATGATAAAGAGGTTGAGAGTCTGATTCCCCACTGTGCCTCTTGTGAGTAGAAACAGTCTGTGTGGCCTTGGACAGGCTGCACATTCTCAGGGCACCCCCAGAAGAAGGGAATGGAAAACCACTTCTGAGTATTCTCTACCTGGAAAATCCCGAAAAGGGTCACCAGGTCAGAACTGACTTGATGGCATACTATTTATTATTAATATGATAAAGAGTACCAATGGCATAGATTTATTTTATATGCAAAATATGTATTAGCCATAAAGATTGGTATAGGTTCTGGATCTCGGACTTCCTATAAATACGTCCATGAGGACTTTACAGGAGAAGATACCTTTAAACTCAGCAGCTAATAGGGACAGATAACCAGAGACTGGGAGGTCAAACTTTTGGACTACAGCTCCCAGATTCCTACCCACCTGCCTAGCCATTTTGGCTGAGGGATTCTGGGAGTTATAGTCCCCATAAAGTAACGTTTCCAAGCTCTTCAGATAACTTTATGAGGTGGACAAACTACAGCAGAGCAGGTTTTGGATGCTTTCCTAACACTTGGGAGAATTGGACTATGATAAAAAATTGAGAAGTCTGTTTTTCTGACTGTAGAAAAGAAATTGAAAGGCATTTGTCCAAACTGTTTCTGATATAGTTTGCAGGAAATTTGAAAATTCTGTGCCAGTGCAAATGCCACCTGGTACTAATTAGTTACATATATTAACTGGACACTGACACACTCTTTTCAGATTCTGCTCAGACATGTGTGTCACATTGAGATTCCTCATGTAATACCTGTACATGTCAGGCCTATGGCTTACAGCTTTCACAGAGCTAACTCTTATCTTCATGAGGTTAGAAATGTGCTTGTTGATTTATTTTTAAATGAAGCTGTTGTTCTTAGGATTCTGGATGTTGCTTTAGAACATAAGAAGAGCCCTGCTGGATCAGGCCAAGGGCCCATCTAGTCCAGCTTCCTGTACCTCACAGTGGCCCCATCAGATGCCTCTGGGAGCACATGAGACAACCAGATACCTGTCTCCTGATGCCCCTCCCCTGCATCTGGCCTTTGGAGATCCCTTCCTTTTAAGCCTGGAGATGATGCATCCACATCATAGCTTGTAAGCTTTAGTACCTCATTCTTCATATGTGTGTGGTATAATTAGTAAGCAGATAATGGAAATGGGTGGTAAACATGGGAATGAGAGATGGCATCTTATACCAGACCCAACTGTTTGCCAGCACACCGCATATTGTCTAGTTCAGCCATTCTCTACATGAGCCATATGGCCCCCTGGGGCCTTGGCACATTTGAAAGAAGTCACAGATTGAAAAAAGCGAGAATTTTCTGAAAGATATATATTTGTGTTGTATCTTATGTAAACTAATCCCATGAACCAGAAAGGCTGAGGATTTAAGGCCTGGGACTTTCTCCATGCCAAATGTATCCTTTGCTATTTGAGCTGTAGCAGCTCTTCATTTCCTTGTGTTTCACTTCTGATACTGTGAACCCAGGTTATCTCTTTATTTTCTGGATATTTTAATAATTTGGGCTATACATTGCCCCTGCAGAAAGCATGACAACTAGAAATGTTGTTGGAGCATTAAAAACTGAATGGCATGGCAATGCATCTCACATTAAGTAGTTGTTGCTTCCCCACAGTCACATAGGTTCCTTATACCATCTTGGGCATGTCTGCTATATATCAGCTGGGAATCTAAATGACAAAAAATTCTTTGTGCTCTGTGTCCTTTGGAAATAAATACTATTATGAGCTCTAAAAGACAGTAACGCCTGCTAACTTGTTTTAATGTCGTCTTTTATGAATAAGGTCCTTAACAGGTATAATGATGGGGGTAATTGCATCAGTCTCCATATTAACTATGAGTAAGTACTCTCTGGATGCTATGTCATGCTGCCATCTTGTAAAGGGTTTTTGAAAAGGCAGGTGTAGAGAAGAACCTGATGCGACCATTTAGAAAAATGGCCTGGCTTGGCTCTGAAGAGCTATTTTCCCAGGGAAGAGGCTACTGAGGAGTTTCTTTGATCTGTCAAGGAGATGGAAAACAAGGGCTTTTTGTGTGTGTTGTAATTAGACTAATCAAATTTAGTGCTGGTTTGCAGTTTGATTCTGTGGGTGAGTCTTCTGGGGGTTGAGGATACTGAATTGTGTAATAGTCACACCATCATTACTTTTAATGTAAACAATCACTTGGAAATATTGCCTGTGTTTTGAATTGCATGCTATCTTAGCTGGTGCAGTGGTTTTAGAAGACAGTCTCCACTGAAAACATTGGTTGCAATAGGAATTGGAAGGCAATCTCCTGCCCTATCAAAATCCAAGACTAGATGATCTCACTGACTTTTTAACCTTCTTTGCTCCATCCACCCCCTTTCCCCTTCATCTGAGTTCAGAAGGGACAAGTCTTTCTCCGCCCTTTGTCAGTAATTCTGTGTTGGTGGCAGGGAGCCACAATTCACACCTAGGCACTAACCACAGCTCTAAACCATCAAAGCCTCCAGCGCCTGCAGAGAAGGGATTTTTACAAGTAATGGGATGGGCAGTTGGGTGACCAGGTGTCAAGTCAAGTGATGATGGAGGCAATGGTGTGCCCGAAGCTTCCCTAGACCTCCATAGAGCCTCTGCCCCTCTATTTTATGAGGGGTATCAATTCATCTTTGATGGTTGTAATCCTCTTTTATAATGGACTCCAAGAGATTTGGCCTATGATGAGGGAAGAAGGGAGATCTGCTCTCTGTGAGAAAATTCACAGTGCCAAATCACACATAGTTGTCAAGTCATTAGCCACTAGCTGTATTTTTCTATCATCAGTCTCTCTTTTGCCTAGCCCTTCAATGGGCAGTTCCTTGTGCGTACTAGAGTAGCCCAAGGGGTATCTTACTGGCTGAACTGGTTGCAGAGGAGGTGTTGTAGGTGAGGAGGACACCTTTCATCTTTTTTAATACACTCTACATTTAACAGTTTGATTCCTATGATCAGTGCTTGCTGTAGCCCCTTCTAAGCTCAACATCTCTGCCATCAGGGTTCTGTAGTGCCTAGAATGTCACTGCCTATTGTGTACATCCAACTCTTCTTGAACTGTCAGAAGAACATGACAAGTGTGGAACATGGAACCAAAAGCCACTTCAGCAGCAAGGTTTCTCAGCAAGGTTTCTCAGCAAGGCCACCTATTAATCCATCCTCTTCTGTTCTTCATTTCCAGTTGACCATCTGTCTTTGGTTCTTATTAAGAAAGTTGTAGAATACTTTATGGGGTTAATCACGAAGTTATGAGATGAGAGATTAAAAATTACCATTCAGTATTGCCCATAAACCACTTTTGACGTCATAGCAGGTTATGTTATAGCTAAGCTTTGCTTTACTCCCCAGCTCTTTCCCCTTCAAAACAAAGTAAGCTGGGAGCACCCCAGATGTCCAGCTAGTGGAAACCTACATTGGAGCTTCAGCAGTAGATGTTTGCTCCAGATTAGGTCTGTTGATATTAATCAAGAAGGAATGGAGGTGTGTGTATCCTGCTTTAGAAAATCCCTGTTGAGTTAAATCTAATGACAAACCACTTATTCCAAGATAATATTAATGGATTTAATGCTAAAATGTAGAACAAGGATGGATAACCTATGGCTCTTATTCCAAGATAATATTAATGGATTTAATTTAATGCTAAAATGTAGGACAAGGATGGATAACCTATGGCTTTTCAAATACATGTGAATGATCACTCCCATCATCCTTCACCATTGGCCAGGTTGGCAGGGGCTGAAGGGAATTTGGAGGGCTACACCTTCCTCAGCCCTGATGTAACATTTACATTACACTGCATTACTGTTATGTGCCGTCATATTGTTTCTGACTTTTCATGACCCTAATAGGTTTTTAGAGGTGTATGGGATGTTCAAGATTTACCATTTCCTTCCCCCTGGGAGGCTGCATGTGGATTTGAATCCAGGCCTCTTGAGTCTCCTTCCAACATTCTGTCCATTACAACACATTGGTTTTGCATTAAATTACATTGTGACAAAGGGGCTGAGTTTGTCCTGAGAGGTTTGGCATTTTTCTGTGGTGGAACACGGTACTACATACAAGTGAAAGAATACTCAAATTGGAAAAATTAGACTATAGCTTAGATTCGTTGCTCAGCCATGAAGTACACAATATGTGATTTAGTTCAGTGCCATCCTATGGTTGAACCAGTCTTGTGGGAGAGAGGGGCCACCATAGGTTATCCTGAGCATCTTGGAAGAAGGGCAGGGGGAGCAAATGTAATAATACTCTACAGAGCAGGCAGAAGATATATTGGACCTACTGTTTAGCCCCTGGGTAATTTGAAGTTGATTGACTATGTATCTGACTGCCAATAGTTTTAAAATAAAAACTATTTTAAACTTAAAACTAAAAGTTTTAAAATACCTCTACCATGTCTCATTTGATGCTGATCATATAAATCTCCACTTCACCTATTATTTCCTTACCTGCTAAATATGAGTGGTTCTTGCCTAGGTCTTTCACCAGGTGTTTCTTTAGTTTTCATCATCCACTTTTGAAGTTTCCTGTTGCTGTGTTAGAACCACTAAGTGGGTCGATCCCAAATTTGCATTTGTATATACAATGTACAATTCATGAAGTCCAGCACCAACACCTTGGCATCTGGCTATTGTTAGCAGACCTTAGGGTTCTATTTAAAAACAACAAAGAAAAAAACAACAACAAAGAAGATCCCAGAAGCTGAACTCTCATTATCCCTCTTACAAGGTAGTCTCAGAAAGCCCATATCCTTTTGTTCAAGCCAGATCCAGTGGGGGATCCTGGCAGTAAAAGATGGCATTTTTGCCACTTCCTTCTGTGGTTTCTCCTATTCTCAAAAAGACATCTGGAGCAGATTTTTCAAGGGGCATACAGAATGAGGCTGTGGAGGAAGAGGAAATTGGTGAAAATTGCTGCCTTTCTTCTATTAGCAGGAGCATCCCAGTGACACAACTCTACTAGTGGCGCATCTAGTGGATTGAGTGGCTTAATAGTTGGTATGTTTTTCTTTGCAGATGACATTTTTACTCTTAAGAATGGAAATGCCCTGGA